ACCAGATGTGTACACTGCTGGACCTCCGACGTTCTATTCTTCTGCTGTAACAAGATAAAATATTTTGGATTCCTCAGTACACTGCCGTTACTTTCCTTAGAATAAATCAACTTTGGCTAAGTTCACACTGCAGGTCTTAATACTCAATTTCCATGTTTTTGCTCAGATCTGATTTTTTGTGGGGTTGCTCACATTATAACTTAAACATGACCTCCATCAGACTTCAGTGCGAACACTATAGTCCTGATGCGACCCGTATGCACTGAAGAAGACGTGACGTCGCACTCATCCATTTTACAGAGGTAAATGTGGATGCTACACATTTTAGCGTGTGTGATTCTGTTTACAGATTCAATCATACAACCTTTGTATACTGGTGTAGCTTCTCACGTCATTCTGTACTTGGCAAATATAACCTTCGACTTCAACTCTGTAGCTAAAGATGTGCAACTTTCTGAGCTTTTAACTGCATGACGTTGGTATCGAGAATACCAATATTCAGATCGATCTAACACCCCTACATCACTGACGTAAAAGTCGGATGAAATGCGACATGACCATTCAGACTGAGGTTGCTTTGAAAAACATTGGATGCTTATTTGTTTTATTACCACGTATGATAATCACTGTGAACAATCACATCATGTTGCTGCTGATCTGTTTCATGTTGATGTGTTCATGCGTGCTCATCTGCTCACACAGACTCATGTTCGTGCTGCTGTTCGGCGTATTGTTTTGATGCTATTAGTGCTTAGCGTATTTTTAGTTGATGTTCTTCTTAGTTCATATCTTAGATCTTATTACTGTTTTTCATTTACATTTTATTGTGGGATGTAACTGGGACACTGTGTACATCATCTCGTTCCACTACATGTACCACATGTGGTGAGTATGATAGATAAATCTCTCTGACTGATGAAAGTGACCTGGGTTGGATTTAGGGAAAATAAAATAAAAAATAATTTGTCACGTTCTGATTGCCATAAAAAATAAAATCAGATATGGGTGACATGAGAAAGAAGAAGGATTTGGGCCTCTTTTTCCTTCATGTGAACATAACCTAAGTCTAAAATAAAAACGCCTGAAAACAAAGAGAGTGAATGAAGAAGCACAGCCAGACTGAACAGCTGAGAAGTCGAGGAGTTTGAGTCATTAGTGAACATTACTCTCTCGTGAGGTAAATGTGAATAAAGTTTTTCATTTTCCGAGTACAAGCTCGCTGTACATTCAAACTAAGACCTCTTAGAACTGACGAAAGACCCAGACCGAAGCAGACCCAAGGCCAGACCGGAGACCTGACATGCACTTGTTCTTTTTCCTCTGACTCATGCTTAGTCGCTCAGCAGCAACACAGTGAAACCTCAGTCCCCGTGCCAGGTTCTGTCACTGGGTAGAGCAGCGACTTGGCTACAGTAAAAAAAAAAAAAAAAGGCGCTTGACATGACGTGATGCCCCCTTCCTCTGTGCTTCCCCCCCGGCCTGTGCAGCAACAGAGGGGTAAAAATATCCCACCAAGCGAGTTCAGACAACCAGCTCATAAATTAACACTAAAACTCCTGCAGACAACAGCGAGCCAGTCGCTGAGAGATTTATACCACTCAGGTTCCCACTGACCACAGCTCCGGGATCAGCTTACAAAACCCTCTTCCTAAATTTACCCATTAAGAGGCAGTGAATAAGAACAGGCTCTAGATCGGTTTTCATCCTAGTCACTATTTAGCTTTACGCTAACACTGTCAACTATTTTATCCAAAGTGGCTCTGGGGCGCGTTTTCTTTCTCCAGGAAATGTTGTGAGGTGAGACGTAGGCTGAAATTGGGAATTGTGTAGAACTGAGTGGTCTGTTAAAAAAAAAAGAGAGGAAAAAAGAAAGAAAACAAACAACAGGAGAGAAGAGTGATGATCCCTTCTAAGGAAACTCAGCTCTGTAATGGACGAACAGGGATTACAGACGTTAAAACCTCCTCCATCTGTAATTCACTGTCACCCTGCCATCATCTATGAATCACTGATCCACTCTGCAAGTGTGCAAGACCTTGCTAAAAGCATCACTGTTGCACCCATTTGTGTTTGTAGTGGTGGGGAGGAGGGAAAAAAACATCATGCAGAGACAACTTAACAGCTTACTGTGCTGTTTCAAAGCACTCTCTGTCCTCTAACAACCACCTAGCTAGTTTCCTCCCCCCACCCCCCACTACACACAGAGGGAATGGGACATGCTGATCAAATAAGGTTTTAATGAACATCAGCGTTTGAAAGTGAGGAACAGACGCTTGAAGCTAGTGACATCTAGTCTGGGTTGGATTTTCATCTTCAAAACGTGAAACAAAATAAAGAGAGAGAGAGAGGAAACATTCCTTTGCTGGTGCCTCTTGGAGACAAAACAGACAGTGAGCGAAGAGTTCGGGCTGTCCGTTTGATCACAAGGAAGAAACAAATGAGGCAATCGGCTGACAAGGCTGTATGTATGTTCTGATCCTATCATGCTAACCCCCACGTCATCATTAAATAAAAAATTAAATAAAAGGTTCTTCTCTGAAGGCTTTTCCTCTAGGAACCTCTCAGTGGGAGGGAGAGTAAATAAGATGTCATCAATAATAGAAAGTGAATGTTCTGAGCAGTTGTGCACATTCGCACACACATATACACGCACACACACACACACACCAGCTCTGGCTGATTCCTATCCTGCAGACAGGCCTGCCAACAGCCAGCCCTTTTTGCACACGCTCAGATTCACTGTCCTGACTAATCGCTTGTGATAGGGGCCTTTGCCATAATTACCCAGGGCTTTATCACAAACTTATGCGATGCATTTTTCATGTCCTAGCTGCTGGCAGTGCCTCTGCAGGCTGTCAATCTGGGAAAAAAATAAAATAAAATAATAATAACTGATCTCACACCAGTTCAAACAGGGCAAAAGAGGTGAAAGCAGGGTGAGAAGCCTGAAAGAAGAGAGGTTTTTTTTTGTTTGTTTAGGAGAGGGAGGAGAAGGAAGAGGCGGAGTGAGGAAACCAAAAGGAGAGCAGTCGGGTTTTTTGTTCTTTTTTTTTTAACATTAACATTTTAGCTTGTGTGTTTAAATGTTATCAAAATATCTCACGAACTAAAGAAAGAAACTGAAGGTAATCACTGGATTCACATGTACAACTGGAGCCAACCCAATTCAAGATGGCCGCCACAACAAAATGACTAAAGAGCACACAAAAAAGTGATAACCCCATCAATTTTATAGCTACTCAGCAGGAATTTGGAACGGTTGTAGCTGAGAATCATTCACAACACACTCCACTCCTTTAAACTTTAGCCTCAATTGTTAAGAGTCAACCCTAGTTGTCTGTTAGCCAAATATCCCATGAACCAGTGGGCAGATTTGAACAAAACTCTTGGGTAGCAATCACTGGATGTCCATCTACAATTCCAATCAATCCAATTAAAGATGGCTGCCACAGGTAATTGGATATTAGCAACACAAAAACAGCTACGAGTCAGTCAATTTTACAGACATTGTGCTAAAATTCTGTGTGATAGTAGCTGAGAGTCATCCACAACCCACAATCTGAGCGCAACATCTGGAAATACTTCGTAAGGTTATTATACAAGGTATGACCAGAGCAGCTCCAACTACGATCCTGAACTCTGCGGGTGACCGGTGGCGGGCGACACGCATCCCTTCGGTGAACGCTGGGGGCCTTTAATTTTACATGATGTGCGACCTGGGGAGGGCAAGGCCACGAGGACCAAACAGGATCAAATAAATACAAGCTGGAGCCTTGACGATGTGGCGTCAGAGCAACACAAAGCCCGCTGGGAAGCCCTGCTCACCGTCCTTTTGTCTAATACAGTCATAGGGGCATCATGACCCAAATAAAAGTTAAAAAGCTCGTGCAGCTCACAAATTAATGCACGATCAGTGTGCCCGATCTGTAGCCTCACATAATGCAGCACTGTGTCAATGACGGCAGCAACTGGGCAACTAATATTCATAAATGGCGATTTGAAATTCAGCAAAGCGCGTTAAATGCCACGAGAGGGGAGAAACAACACAACAGTGCCCATTGTCTGCACGTCTTGTGACGGGTCACAACAAGCTCTAATATATTCACACACACAAAAAAAAAATGGAGGGGGGGTAATATTTCCCCCAATATTTGCCTCAGATCACCTCCGTGCGCGATGGGGAGTTCGTCACAAAACGCAAGGTCACCATGTTAATTTAATCACCGAGTCCCGTCAAAAAACGAGCAACTCCTCGTCTGTCCCGGTCCGGTCCGGTCCACTTCCAACACAGACGTGGCAAAGAAACGTCTGCTTCAAAATAAATAAATTAACTCACATTTGGCTGACTGCACGAGCCGTCAACACCGACTGTTAATCCAATAAATGGAGTTCCGTGTTAAACTGTCCCCGAACCGTTAGCCGACCGGGCTGAACTCAACTTAACGACGCGTTAAAAACAAGAAAAAAAGAAAAAAAAAAAAACGTTTTATGTTCGTGTTTGTCCGCCGTCTCAAACCGTGTCACCACAGCGCCGCCGTAAAATAGTCGCACTATTTTTTTCCTTCCCCCCCTCCTCCTCCAAATTATCCAACCTTACAGCAGCGGCTAAGCGTCGGGCTAACTACGGCTACCAGCTCCGGTAAAAGTTGAACAACACGCAACGATAAAGAGAACCAACCCAAAGCTTTCCGCCGAAGCCCCCTCGCCGTTCCGGGGCTTTTTGTTGCGGCGCATCCCCCCGCGGCGTCGCCCCGGCTTGTTGCAGCGTGTCCGATCGATGTTGAATTGAACAAAGAGGATCAATTTCTGATCAGCGACAGAGCCACTTTCATCAATGTGAGGAAGAGCTCTTGAATTCTCTTCCTCCGAAGCTGCTACGAGGCAGCCGCCGAAAAGCTCCCCCCCTCTAAATAAAAAAAAATAAAACACGGCCCGGGAGAGAGGCGAGCGCAGCCGAAGAGAGCAGCCGACGAGGCGGCTGGAACGGAAAGTCCACTGACCTGTAGTTGCTGTAAGTCAAAGCGCTTCCAATATTGAAACATCGATCCTGCGTTGGCCGCCATCTTGAGACATATTGAGACAGGAATGAGATGCTGATAGAGAGCGCGCGGGGGTTGGAGTTCAGTGGAGAGGAGCGGGTGTCCGGAACACCCGGACCGGATCACGCCCTGCGCGCTTCCACGACACGGTCCGCTTCACGGAGCGGAGTCAGCTCACCCCGAGTGTCGCCTTAATGACGCCATTATAATAGTTTAAATAGCATTTTATCAACATTCAGATGTTACAGGTAAACAACCAAACTGGGCTTACATTACACTCAACTGTATTACACAGGTATATATTAAACGACATAATAGCGCGTTTTGGATGGTTTTAATTAATTAAAACATCATAGAGAAGTAAAGTCATCAGGCTAAATATTGGCAAATATTAATACAATGGGATAAAACATGAAAAACCTGCCATATATAATGACATTTTCATCACATTGTATTCTAATCTAAAAAAAAAAAAAAAAACTTTGGTCCATTTGTATAGTTAAATTCTGTAAATGTTTTATTTAAAATTTTCTTTTGTTTATTCTATTATTAGTTGAATTTAACTTTTTTAGTCCTATTGTTACGCACTGGGGTAAATCGTGTACTGAAATTGTTGTTCTGGGTTCAGTTTTAATGCAGTTGCATATCAAATCGTCCGTGTTATTTCTAATGTTTGACAATTCAAGTAGTAGTTCAAATCCTTCAAAGCAGGGTTCTGTGGAGAAGACACACGCCATTATTATCTTACCTGTTGTAGATAGCTTTTGAATTCTGACTTTGTTGACGACCTAACAGCTAAGTTGAGTGGTGCCAAGACCAAAGTAGACTGCTGCGATATTAAACCAACTTTTTTAATTAAAGAGTTGAACTTACTTCCGGATGTGTTGACAAAGTATGAAAGTTTCATTATTTTTCCTTAAGATGACAAGGATCATCTTGTATTTGCAAATGCTATATGTTAGCATAGTATATGTTGAGCATGTTTAGTTTGCAGGGCTATTCAGGTAAATTGCTCAGGGGTTCTCAGACACTGGAAGCCAACAGCTCGGGGAATATATCTGTCAGTAATTGTCATTGCTTGATATTAATGTACAATTCAAAATCTTGAACGACCATCTTGATAAGTGACAATAGCTCTAACTGCGCCACCGCGCTGTCCTTTAGTATTTTCTCTGGTTTAAAAAAAAAAAGAAAGAAAAAGAAACAAATCACATTTGGTGTTTCAAGGTTTTTTTGTTTATTTGTTTGTTTGTTTTTTACCAAAAAGTTGCACAGGAAGTGTTACAGCTAGCTGCCTCTGCTCTTTGTGCTAATAAATAACAGTTTAGTTCCATGGAAATAACAGTGTAAAGTGAAATGGAAGGCGATGTTTATAAAATGTCACTGTCTGAAGTTTTGTGAAATTTTTAGACAGGTGTTTTAGGAAAGTAGCAAATCCTCCAACATCGGCTGTCAGTGTGTAAACCGAGTCAGAATTTAATTTTAATTCTCCAAGCTGATGTCATTCAAAGAGGTATCTATGACAGGTAAGATATGAACTGTTCACAAACTTTACACTGAACTTCACTTCAAAGTTTTCAATTATCACTTTAAACTTAATTGTGTTGTTTTGTTTTAATTTATGTATGCTTTGTTTCTCTCTCTCTCTTTCAACCCCCCCACCCCTGACCCACACACACACACACACACGGGTTTGTCTTACTATCTTTACAGGTACTTTGCATTGACTTCCATTCATTTTTCATTCGTTACTATAGCCTAATCCTGACCCTTACCCTAAACCTAACCCTTACCAGTACATACCTAACCCTAAATCTAACCATTACCTGTACATACCTAACCCTAAATCTAACCATTACCAGTACATACCTAACCCTAAACCTAACCATTA